GTGATATCATGCACAGGATGAAAATATTATTGTTTTCAAGAAAATATATTGCGGGACAAGATAGCACGGTGATACAGAAATGAATAAACAACGCGKGCAAGATATAACCGGGGGTAACTACGAAATTAGAGGCTCCTTCACCGCGCGATTAGCGCGACACCATGAAAACGGTTTATGTGACGAATGAGAACATTGACCAGGCAATATTCTCTTTGTTTCTCCTTATTTGAACAGAGTGAAACAAAGAGAAATGAGGAGAGGCAATATTCTCTTAGTGTCTCTTTGTTACAACAATGAGAAACAATGAGAAAATTGCTCTTCTAAACAAAGAGAAAAATTCTCTTTGTCGTTCTTGTTTTGCAGGGCGTACGGGAAACTATTCTATTTTATAATATTTACTAACTGTGGACCTAGTTAAAACCGTCATATTGTGTCGTTCAGTCGCTGTAAGCATGGGGCACAGAATGCTGTTCTCTTCTTTACGGAACCTGCAAACACGATTGGACGAAACACGATTAGAAATTCAAGATCGACGTTAAGTGAAAAAGATCGTGCAATTTCTGAAAGATTGCGGGATAGTACGAACTCGTACCGGTACAACAAGGTATGGTATGAGATCCATCGGTTGCTAAGACAGAGAAGAGCAAAATATCTCGGTCTAGAGTGTTAGTAACCACGAGGACAGAATGATCCTAATTCAAGCCATCATAACGCAGTATTTTCTTGCCGGTCATTTCGTTGTAAAAACTTCTATCCGTAATCGTGACTTTTGACAACAAAACTAAGGATGTTCTCCCAGTCGCGTCTTATTCTACAAGCCAACAAGAATGCTATTCGAGCGACAGCATCGGCCATACCGTCGACAATGAAAATGACGACGGCAGCACGAATCCTTTCTACTGCGAGTTCTATTCCTTCTTGGGCTACGGTAGATCCAAAAGATATGGGGATCGACCCGGAGCCGCACGCGGTGAGAAATCTGGTGGATGGAAAGTGGCAACCTACATCGTCGGAAACCATTGTCATTCCGCATCCCCTCGATGCAAATGCACCTCCTATCTTTACGATTCCTGACACCCAGATCTTGGAGCTCGATCCTTTCTACGAAAGTTTGCGGAAAGTTCCAAAGTCAGGTCTGCACAATCCTTTGAAAAATCCAGAACGTTATGTGCATTATGGAGAAATAAGTCGAAAGGTGAGAAAGGAAACCTTCAAACGCACACACTTTGGAAAAAACACAACATCTGGACTTATGGGCCGACGCACAGCGAAACTGGATTTATTTGCTTGAAAGGCCTTTTTAAAAAGTTTCGTGTTTCATTTAGATTTAATAGTTGATTCGTTGACGCTTTCCTTCTTTTCCGTGTTTCAAACAAAGGCTGGAGCCGCTCTCTCAGATCCCAAAACCGCCGAATTCTTCACGCAGTGCATAATGAAATGTGTGCCAAAGTCGCACGGGCAAGCTCGTGGTGAGGTGAAAGTAACAGCTGATTTTCTCAACAACTTTGCCGGTGACAATGTTCGACGCTTGGCGAAGTCCTTTGGTGTTCCCGGAGACCACTACGGCCAAATGTCCGTTGGACACCGATGGCCCTACGGACCGGTCGCACTGATCACTCCATTCAATTTCCCTTTGGAGATTCCTGTCTTGCAGCTCATGGGGTCTCTATTCATGGGGAACAAACCGGTGTTGAAACCATCCGAGCAGGTTTCCTTTGTCATGGAACAGTTTCTTCGGCTTTTGATTGATTGCGGGATGGATTCCAGCGACGTCGATTTTTTAAATGGCAGGGGTATCGTGGCACAAGAGCTTATCGTAGAGACACCGGTGCGCTTGACACAATTTACCGGAAGCTCCCGTGTGGCAGACATCTTGCTGAAGGCTACCAACGGCAAGGTAAAAATAGAGGATGCCGGGTTCGATTGGAAGATCCTTGGACCCGACGTGGGCGACGTAGATTACGTGGCTTGGCAGTGCGACCAGGATGCCTATGCATCCATCGGACAAAAGTGCTCGGCTCAGTCGATCTGTTTCGTTCACGAAAACTGGAAGGAAACGGGCCTGTTGAACAAGATGCGTGCCAGGGCAGCGAACCGCAAACTCAACGACTTTACGATAGGCCCTGTTCTGACCGTTACCACGGACCAAATTCTGAACCATACCAAAACACTGGCGAGTATTCCCGGTGCGAAGGTATTGTGGGGAGGTGCCGAGCTCGAGGGCCATCGGATTCCCGAAATATACGGCGCGGTAGAACCCACTGCCGTCTTTGTTCCCCTCGAGGAAATGATCAAGGAAGAAAATTTCGACAATTGCGCCAGCGAGATCTTTGCTCCCTTCCAGGTCATTACGTACTACAACGACGATACCCTGGACGATGTGCTGGAAGCACTCGAGCGGATGAGCCACCACTTGACGGCAGCTTGCGTTTCGAACGATCCCGCCTTCCAGTCCAAGGTCTTGGCTCACACCGTAAACGGTACCACGTACGCGGGTCGACGCGCCAGGACTACGGTAGGTCTCCGAGGAGTTTGGACGCGGCCGTCTTCTCACGGACCGGGCGTCTGCGCACCTACGCAAGGGGAACCGCCTCTCTCGCGTGCAACGCGTGCCCGTCCCCAACCCCGCTTCGCTCACGATCGATCCTTTGCATTTGTTTCTTTTTCAGGGAGCACCACAGAACCATTGGTTCGGACCCGCGGGAGACCCGAGAGGATGCGGCATCGGGTCGCCCGAAGCCATTCAGATGGTGTGGTCGTGCCACCGCGAAATCATTCACGACTCGTTTGTTCCCCCTTCCTGGGTGGACGGAGCCCAATCGTGATTCGTGCCGAGCGAAGCTTTGCCCACACCCTTTCAAACCTAGACCTAACGAAACTACAGAATACAATACAGCACATTATTGCAAGACTCGCGCAATCTATCATCTTAGGTGCCGGACTATTGTATTTTTCTGCGCTGGCTTTTTCCACGGTCGTGATCCGATGCAAAAACGATCTGTAAAGGTCTATTCGTTCAGTGCCAAATAGAACGGCCGTTCTCCTTCGGTCTTGTGGTGGTTGCTGTTGTGGAAACATTCGGCACCGTTGCTGCCGGCCGATGCCCTCCACCTGGATTCTCCGATTTGCGGAAGCGAGATGCACGACCGGGAGGCCGAAAGGAGCTTCTTCAGCGAATCGGTGCAACGAGAATCCCTGGTGGCACCGTAGTCCCAGGCATCGTCGCAATCCCGCAGCAGGTACAGATCGATCTCTGGTTCTTCGGACCAGGAAAGTTCTCGGTCCGTGCGTTCGTCGTTCGAAAACACGATGGGCTCGCCCGGATACCGGGTTGGCTCAACCGCGCGCGAAAGGACGCGGCCGGGCCCCCAACCCCGGAACCCCCGGTCCTCCTCGTCGATGTCGCTCGCCTCCGAGGACATGGACGAGCATTCGGTTGGGAGTGTCGTGTCCGGGCACGGGGGGTGACTGATCCGTGCCTCGTCTCCGTCGTTCTGGATTCGGCCTCGTGTTGCGGCAGAGCCACCGCCGCAATCCTTTGGCGGCAACAACGAGGATCGGTGGAGCGGTGTGCCCCTCCGACGGTAGCCCTTCTGTTGCCGCATGTACCAGTGGTGGCTCCTCGCATCGTGGGTACCGCAAGCACAGGGAACCGAGTTGCTGGCCACTTCCATCAAGGTCACGAGTGTTTTCGTTTCCGGGTCAAAGAACAGCTGTGCATACCTAATGCCGTCTCTCCTTGGGGGCAGAATTTTCTTGGCGCTCGGGGTACCGGTCGGGATCGGGGTAGTTTCGTTCGAGCTAATCATCGGAAGCCTCTGTCGTTTGAATCCATCGGCATTCTGGTGGCTGTGAAGCTCGGCTTTGCCGCTGGTCTTCCTCGGGTGCGTGCCATCGTCTCTCGCATCGTCCCCGTCGCCAGCGCCGAAATCGGATCCTTCCACCAGAGAGGAAAAGGCGAGAACAAGACCCGCTTCGCCGTCGTCGGAACAACCGCTCACCGGGCTCGGGGCATCGCCGCCGCTGTCGTTCTGGGAAGCACCGCTGGTACCGGCAGCGGACTGTTCGTCGCGGCGGCTGCTCGTGCCACCGGGACGCTTCGCGGTCCCTGGCACGGCGTGGAGAGCGTTCCGTTCTGCCGCGGCCACCAGCTCATCGGCTCCCTTCGGATCGGCGTTTTGCGCATCAAGGGCAACCATGGTCGGGTGGCTTCGCATGCTTGGTCGAGGTTGTGGCCGATCTTGCAGTGTTCGTATTGTGAAAGGGAACTGGTTTCGGAAAGCGCGTTCCTTGGAAGGAAGCACCTCGTCGAGCAAGTTCGGCGATATGTGTCGATTGGGTTCTCTCCGTTGGTTTGTTGGCCCAACCGCTCGCTCCCGTGGCAACTCGGGGAAAGCGAAATCGTTGTTTTGCAAGAATGATCATGTCTCCGCCCACTTGGTGGCGTGTCTCATCCTCCCGTGTGGGGTCAATCCCATTTCAACAAAAAATCGGTCGCTTCGAATATCCAAACAGCACATGATTCGATTCAAAGTGTCCTCGTATGCGTTTTTTTCGGACCGGGCGATTCCGAAAAATTCGATGGCACGAGTCTTTGTTTGCCGGTGGGAGACGAAAACCAACGAAAATTTTGAAAATCTCAAATTTTGAATTTCTGAATTTCGTCCGTGACGAGATTCAGTCTCGCGTCTCGTTTTGAGGATCATGGGAGTCGGTACCGCGTACGTACGCACCATACGTACGGTACGTATTTCGTATCGTCACATCATACAACGTACAGCACGGTACGATACGTACCGGTACCTGTATGGCGCGACGACGGCACAGCTCAGAGCGCTCAATGCCTAGAAAACTAGAAGACCGTTGCGTTGCGAACGGTGGCGCCCCCTGATACAATACAGTACACTACTTACTCCACAGTGTTATCCGTTGGAAAAGTTTTCCTCGCTTAAATTTACTACTTTTTATTTTTAAGACTTCGAATACAGATGTACTGTACTTGTACTTCTACTAGTACTGTATTTACTAGTAGTGCTAGTTTTCAGTGCTAGTTTTCAGTACTAGGAATTACGTACCCTTCCTGCTTCTACTACATAGCGGTAAAAATTACCGCCGAGGTGATAGTTTTCAGCATTGTACCGTACCGTACCGTACGGCACAGTGCGTACTCGCACTCGCACTCGCACTCGCACTCGCACCGTGCTGTACGGAAGGGGTCTAAATTATGGCCCCTGGTGTACGGTAGGGTACGTACGTACGGTACGTGCACCACGGAAAATGGTGGATTGATTGCTTGATGGATGATGTCTCGCGTGCATCGATCAGCAAGAACGGGCATCCCGGCATCGAACGCCACCACCACCAACGCAACCCCACACCGGCATTTCCTTCGTTCCTAGCATGGCGCAGAACCAAGGATCGGAGGCAACCACCGACGCACCGTTCCCTCTCTCGCGCTCGCTGCCGGACCGTTTCGCACGGGGCTGGTTGCGACCCGCGTTCCTCGCCACGTCCCCGTCCCCGTCCAGGTCCCCGTCCAGGTCCCCGTCCACGTCCCTCTTCGTCGTCTTGGCCTTCTTGCTGCTGCTGTTGCTGCTGCCGGTCCCGCCCGTTCGAGGCCTCTGCACCGCGCCCCTCCGTGTTGGGGCGATGCGGGCCGCTGGAAGACCCACCGCCGCCCTTCGCCGGTCCCCGAGGGCAGCGAAGCGAGGGCTCTCCGCGTCTCCCGGAAAGACCGACCCCCCGCGGGTCCGGCCCGTTCCGATCACCCCCTCCCCGAAGCGGCCGCGGCGCCGGGGGACCGCCTTCTCGGAGACGACCATCCCGGCGCCGGGCCCGGTCGAGAACCACGAGCTGGAGCTTACGACCCGCATGCTGGCGTCCATCCGTCCGGAGCAGGGATTCGTCGATCTGGGCGTCCCCCCGGTAGAACTCCGGCCCTCGAACACCCTGACCAACGGGCAGTGCTTCCACTGGAGGGTGGTCCACCCCGAGAAAGCAGGACCGGCAGCACCGACGGCGTCGGCGTCGGCGTGGGGGACCCACGATGCGAAGGAGTGGGTGGGGGTCCTCCGGCTCCCCCTGTTCGGCGCGCACGAATCCGCGGTGGTCGTCGTCCGGGAGCTCCCGGAGACGACCCTGTACCGGCCGCTGGTCGTCACCCGCGGTGGCGACCTTGGAAGGGGAACCGAGCCCGGCCTGGAGGGGGAGCTCCACCGGGCCCTGGCCGAATACTTCCAGCTGGGCGTCCCGCTCGAGGGACTGTACGAGGAGTGGTCGGAGGCCTGCCCGCGCCTCTCGGTCATCGCGGGCTGCCTGCCGGGGGTCCGGATCCTCCAGCAGGATCCCTGGGAGTGCCTGGCGAGTTTCATTTGCTCCAGCAACAACAACATACCCCGGATCACCAAGATCCTGGCGTCCATCCGCAGGGAGTACGGCCGGCCCCTCCTGCGGATCCCGTCGGAGAGCGGGAGCGAGTACTGCTGGCTGTATTCCTTTCCCAGCCTGGAGGAACTCTCGGCAAGGGCCACCGAAAAGGACCTGCGGGAGACCTGCGGAATGGGCTACCGCGCCGGCTACATTCTCGAAACGATGAAGTTGCTGGGGGACGACGCGAGGGGGGGAGAGGCCTACCTGCACCAAACCCTCCGCCACGACACGACGGACCCGGGGGAGGTCCAGGACCTCCTGTGCGAGTTCAGGGGCGTCGGCCGGAAGGTCGCCGACTGCGTCGCCCTCTTCTCGCTGAACCAGGACGACGCCGTCCCGGTGGACACGCATGTCTGGAACATTGCCATTCGGGACTACGACCCGGAAGGCGTCCTCAGGACCACCGTCCGGTCCCTCACGGCCTCGAACTACAAAAAGGTGGGGGAGGTCTTCCGGGGCCGGTTTCCCAACAGGGCCGGGTGGGCCCACTCGCTCCTTTTTGTCGCCGAGCTGCCGAGTTTCCGCGGGCTGCTCCCGGACGACCTGGCGAACGAGATGGAAACCTTCCAGAAGGAAGAAAAGGCCCGGAAGAAGGAAGAAAGGGAGCAAACGAAGACGAAAGCGAAATTAAAAACAAAACAGAAACCGGCGTGAACACACGCCAGAACCATCGATCGAGACACGCATCTATTTCTAGCTAATCCTTAAAAAATATATCCTAGTAAAAACACGGCACAGAGTCCGGACCAACGGTTTGCTTTCGTGGAACCAAGACGTGACGCAACGCGGTGCGACTCAACCACGCAGCCTCTTCTGCTTTTGCTTCTTGGCCTCCAGCCTCTTTTTCGAGTGCTTGTCTTGGTACTCTTGCGCAAGCATCGCGTAGCTCGACGAGTTCTGCTGCTGCTTGATCGTCTTGGTCACGATCTGGACCACGTCCTCGTCGTCCAGCCTGTGCGTGAGGCCGCACCGCTGCGGCGCGTGCACGGCGCTCTTGCCCCACACAAGAGCGTAATTGAAGTCCCGGAGCATCTGGGTGGAGATGTTGGCGCAGAGGGACCTGACGGTGGTTCCCTTTCGGATGTCCGACAGCACAACGGCTGGAGCGGGAGCGGCAGAAACAGAGCGAGCGAACGAACGAACGAACGGGGGGCAGGGTGCGTGAGCAAGGGAGTCGGATCGAGCGAACGAAAGGTTTCGAGAGAGTACTGGCCGGATATAATCGGATTCCGTCGCGTTGCATCGCGTCGCGTCGGATCGAGCCAGCTCTGGCCTGGTCGGATCGGATCCCGCTTTGTCTCGCCTCGTCGGATCGAGACTAGCCTAGCCAAGAGCAGTCGGTGTTACTTACGTTCTTCGAGGTCCGGGGGCGACCCCTTTCGTTTGGTATAAATTCGAGTCAAACCCAGGTACTCCCACATTTTTTGCTTCAATGCGTCGTCTTCCAGGGGCTGGCCGATGTTCCACTTTTTGTTGACGCTTCCGACGATCGAATGGGGCTGGCGCGCCAGCTGATCGACTTCCTCGATCGTGATGGTATCGATCTTGTTGTACAGGTACAGGGCCGGCTTGTACTCGCGGTTGCCGAGGGCGACGTCCACCAGCTGGTCGACCGTGATTTCTTCCCTCGCCAGCACGTCGGCACTGATGATCTTGTACTCGCGGAGAATCTGCGTGACGACCTTTTCGGGTTCCGGGCCGAGTTTCGTCTGGGGCACCGTGCTCGAAAACCGTATGCCGCCCCCCATTTTTCGCTTGCTGATCTTCACGTCCGGCGGGCGCTGGTTGAGACGGATCCCGACGGTCTCTAGCTCCCGCTCCAGAATCTCGCGGTGGCGGTTGAGGCCCTCCTTTCCGGCGTCCAGGACGATCAGGATCGCGTCGGCGTTCCGGGCCACGGCAATGACCTCCTTTCCCCTTCCCGCTCCGTGGGCGGCGCCCTCAATGATACCGGGGAGATCCAGAACCTGCACCTTGCTCCCCTTGTACCGCATCACACCGGGGATGCACGTCAGGGTCGTAAACTCGTAGGCAGCCGCCTCGGACTCGGTTGCCGTCAGGGCGCCCAGGAGGGTGGATTTTCCGACGGAGGGAAACCCGATCAGGGCCACCCGGGCGTCACCGTTTCGTGCGACGTCGAAACCCTCTCCGGAGCTTCCTCCGCTTCCGCCCGATTGCTCCACAAAGAGCTCGTTTCGGAGCCTAGCGAGCTTGGCCTTGAGGGTACCTAGGTGATAGTTCGTCGCCTTGTTCTTTTGGGTCCGGGCCATTTCGGCCTCGATTTCCTTGATTTTTTCCATGACACCCATCTTGCTGCGTGTTGTTCGTCTTCCTGGTCCTGGGAAGTGGTAGTAATTGGTTGCTGTGTGTCGTGTTGTTGGCTGCTCTTTTCTCTGTTAACGCTGTGTTGCAGGATGGGTTGGAAGTTGCCTGTCCCGCCCACCCATCGTTGCAGTCTACAACTCCGTTCGGCGACCTGATGTTGCGATGTATCGGTAATCGGTACGAGTAGTACAAGTACGAGTACGCATCTACTGGTACCGTACTTGTAACGTGTGAAATGCTCAGTAGTTCATTTCTACTTTTTGATGAGATTGATGAGATACAACAAAGGTACGAACCGTACGGTCGTACGAGTTGGGGAGATGATAGGGACAGACGATCCAGCTCGTCGTGTGGATTTAAATTCAAACCTACAGGTACGTACGTACTTAGTGGTATCGTAAGGTAGTACGGTACTCGGTACTCGGACGAGCTAGCTCGTACCGAATCCATTGAATCTCTGATCTCTGGGCCTTCAGGAACCCACGCACACACATCCGCTTTTTGAAATCCAACATTGGGGGCATGATTTCATGGGTTATTTTTCCAATAAAATAACCACGATTCTAAAACATCGGTTATCTTTCCCACCATGAAATGACCCACAATTCTAAAATGTGGGTTATTGGGTGATTCCCATTATTATAGATGTGCTAAACTGGTAAATTTAGCATTGCAAGGGATATGTACATACTGTATCGGAAAGTCTATATGTACGTACTGTAATTGAAGCATACGTACATACAATGCTTAATTGGAATGGATGGACATACCATTCATACCCATATATCATAGGGTACTATTCATATATATATCATACAATCCATTGTAGCATCATACCAAGGATTCTAAGAGGTCCAAGATATCTTGAGGAAGATTACCTTGCAAAGAACAAAGATGTCACGAGTTCCGAAGAATAGCAAGAACCCCATGTAGATTCAGTACCAGATCTACATAAGGATCTAATTGGAACTTTGGAATTCTTGACAACTCACATGATAATCTTTAATCTTATAATTTCATTATTTCATACACTAAAAGCAAAGTACACGTAATCTCGTGCACAGTAATTACTACACATTTGATGTGTATCAAATTAATCATCACTGAAGAAAAACAACCAAAATAAGTGAATCGACCATGGTGAAACCAAACAAAAACAACAACTCCTCCTCCAAACAACATTGATACTCACATCAATCCTGCCTCACCCTAATCAACAGCTTCGACACTGATAAGCTCAATTCAACCACCATTTCCGTGAACCATCCAGCCATAAGAACAGAGACTCCTGTGGGAAGAAGAGTAATAGTTAGGGAACCAGCAAAGAAACTGACATGCAAGTGCCTGCTGGTCTTCTCAGGAGAACATGGTTTACAAGAGTTATTCCATATTGAGGAGGATTTTGAGGATGCAATGGTAGATTTGGAACTAAAGGAGGAATAAATTGATCAGAAATGGCAAATGGTCCTCGCGCATAGTAGGCCCAGACAGAAGTGGAACAGTATGTGGAACAATAACAGACTGGAAATACAGAGAACCAACAAGGAACAGTGGAAAGAAGCTCTCCTGACCTTCAGAAAATTGTATGCACCTTCAAAGAGAGCCAGAGATGAAGTTATTGAGGACCTTTATTCAGACACCACCCAAAAGCCACTAACGAGCTCATGTCAAGCTCATGCAGATACAGTTGAAACCTGCTGTGCCAGAGCCAACCTCCTTCATGGCATCTGGCAACCATTGTCTGAAAGGGAGATCAAACAGATCCTTTTCAGGTCCTTCCCCAAACCATGGCAAAATGGCTACATTCTTTGTGGAGACATCTTAAATGAGTCCATTACTCAAATAGTGCAGTACATGACAGACCAGAAAGGAATAGCTGACGAGGAATACAACAACCAATCAAGAAAGAGAACATCAAACAGTGGTCCCAATGAGCAAAGAAGGAATGGGAAAAAGCAAAGAAAGGGCAAAAATACCAACAGCAATAAGTGACAACAAAAGATAGAAAAAGATCAATGCAAGGCCTTGCAGGAAGCACATTGGAGATCACACTTGGGGAGAATGCCCATTCAACAGGAAGGGTAACAATTACCACCAAGGAAACAATCAAAGAAATGACAACAATAGCAACCGAAGCTCAAATTCAAGCAATAAGACATATACACCGGGTACCTATACCCTTACTGAAAGCAGCCAGCTTACTCAAGTGCAACAACAGCCTCCACGCCAAACTTATCAACTTACACAAGCACAGAATGGATCCAGTTCAAGTGGAGGTCCTCCTAGCCATGTCTCCCTACAATCAAACAGTAATGCAGGTTTGACAGTCCGTATTCATGGACTTAACCATCAGTGGTGACATCAACTGGAGACAGTGCAAAAGGAGGGCTTCTTTGCATTGCCTCCGACACCAAATACTCACTCACAGGAGGCAAGTTTAGAGCTTTTTGGTCTTGAAAAGGAAGATGCCCTTAAGAACCCAACATCAGACACCTTGAGAGCTCTGAATCCAGATTTTCTTCCAGCTGTCATACTTGTTTGCAAAGCAATCCAAGACCTACCAATGATGAAGGACGGCCAAGTCAGATGGCTTGTCAATCTTAGAGAGTTAAACAAAAGGATCAAACGCCCTCAGTTTAATCTCCCCAGAATCCAAGACATCATGAACCAAACACAACAGTATGACCACTTCACTATGACTGATCTGTCTATGATGGTTTACTGCTTTGAGATGGATGAAGAAAGCCGAAAGATATGCACACTCACGACGGTGCATGGCAACTACAGATGCCTCATACTACCAATGGGATTGAAATCCGCTCCGGATTCTACCCAAGCATTCATCACCAAAATCTTAACTGGCTTGGATGTTGAAGTTTATATTGATGACATGGGTATCTGGTCTTGGGGGCCTTTCACTCAGCATCTTTCATTGGTTGATCCAATCCTGCAACACCTGGCAGAGAATGGAATGAAATGCAACCCCCTTAAATGTGAATGGGCAGTAAAGGAATCTGATTTCCTGGATATTGGCTCACACTGACCAGTGTTCAGCCATGGCAAAGAGAAGGTGGATGGGATCCTTAAGATGGGAATTCCACAGAATCAACAGCAAGTCTGGTCCTTCCTAGGAGCAGTCAACTATTATAAATCCATGTGGCCAAGAAGATCATTAATTTGCCACCAGTCTCAGAAATGGAAAATCCAATAACAAATGCAAGCCTTTATACTTATCAGCTCATGGATCCTCAGTGTCAGCAACTACTTGAATCAGATCCAAAACACTACATTAAGAGGAAGATAGGCACCTTTGCATTACTCACAGTAACACTGACTAAAGGAAGGAATTCCACGGATGATAATTGGAAAATCTACTTACCTGATGGCCTGGTAGACAGCACCCTCAAATGGTATCACGTCTTATTGGGACATTGTGGAAGCACAAGGCTCTATGAAACCATCAGTGCTAGATTCTATGCTCTGCGACTCAGCCAAAGATACAAGCAATATCAGTGTCCTGATGATTGCCACAGATTCAAACAGCAAGGCCAAGGTTATGGCTTATTACTGGCTCGTGAAGCTCAGCTCATCCCTTGGAATGAAGTATGCGTGGATTTGATTGGTCCTTGGAAAATACTCCTCCCAGATGAAACTGAATTGGTGATTAATGCTCTCACTTGTATTGATGCACCAACCTATTAGAGATCATTAGAATCAAAAACAAATCAAGTGAACACGTTGCTGAGCAATTTGCTAACTGTTGGTTGTCATGATATCCCAGACCTAACAGATTTGTTCATGACAATGGCAAGGTATTCATCGGAACCCATTTCAAACAGCTTCTAAATCAATTTGGAATAAAGAGTGTGCAAACCACAGTAAAGAATCCCCAGGCAATACAGTATGTGAAAGGGTACACCAAACCATCGCCAATGTTCTTCAGGCTACCCTTCACACAAAACCACTTGAAGAAGCTGAGTTTGATGAAGATCAATTGATTGACAACACGCTCGCCTCTGCAATGCATGCTACCAGTAGATGTGCTGTGAATGCTGCAGTAAAGACTTCACCTGGAACTCTGGTCTTCAATCAAGATATGGTAATTGATATCCCACTCATTAATGACTTACTAAACCTCATCAGAGACAAACAACAACACCTGATAGATGAAAATCTTAGAAGAGAGAATGCCAGAAGAATACCCTTCCAGTATCAGGTTGGGCAGCAAGCCTACATGAAATACTATGAACTAGACAAGCTTTCCCAAAGAATACATGGTCCCTATCCCATAGTGGAGATCAACACGAATGGAACCGTGGTACTACAAAGGAGTGACAATGTTCATGAAACTGTTAACATTTGGAAGCTTGTTCCCTATAAAGGGACTGTCAATGCCAATCCTGAAGAACTAGCAACAATAGAGGAAGAACCCCCTAGTGAAAATGTTGAAGATATGATTGCTACAGTCTGAGTAATGCTTGAGCAGCATTCCTCCTGTTGGGGATAATGCAACAGATATGTATGTACTGTATCCAAAAGCATATGTACATACTGTAATTGAAGCATACGTACCACATACAATGCTTAATCGGAATGGATGGACATACCATTCCTACCCATATATCATAGGGTACTATTCATATATATATATATATATATATATCATACAATCCATTGTACCATTACGTGTACTCTTAGCAAGTGTTTAAGTGTGTATGAAAATTGAATTATAAGATTAGAATTATTCGTAGAATACCCAGCGCGTTCACGAGAATTCCAAAGTTCTGATTAGATCCTCATGTAGACCTGGTAGGAAATCTACATGGAGGTTCTTCCATTCCGGACTCGTGACATATCTGTTCTTTGTGAGGTATTCTCAAATAGTATCTTAGACCTCTCACAATCCTCAACATGATGGATCGTATGATCTATATGTATAAATTGTACATTATGATATGTAGGTAGGAATGGTATGTCCATTCATTCCAAGGGAGCACTGTACGTATGTATGCTTCCTTTACAGTACATACATATGCTTCCTTTATAGTAGTACATACGTATACTTCCGATACAGTATGTACGTATCTGTTGCAGGATTCTAAGAGGTCCAAGATATCTTGAGGAAGA